CATCCATCCATCCATCCATCCATCCATCCATCCATCCATCCATCCATCCATCCATCCATCCATCCATCCTGGTGACTCTAACCAGGTTGTAAGGTAAGCTAAATCCTGGACATGTAGTATTCATATAGTTGTTCTTATTTTTATTATTGATTTATTCTTATTTTCATAATTTGTGCTCTCCTTCTCATTTTATTTAATCTTATCTTTTTTTTATTGAAGCTTTATAAAAATTTATATTTTTTTTACTTTTTTGCCATGTTGAGTCTTCATTCTTTTTTTGTCCAGTGTCATTGCTGTGGATTTCTAATGCCTTCTGTTTTGTTCTCATTAAAATCTCTCATATGTGAAGCCTCTATGAATCAAATTAATTAATTGACTGATTGATGCTTTTAGCTGTTAAAACTTTCCCCTGTATTGTCGGGGTTACAGTCTTAGATTGTCATTGTCTCATTCATCCTCCTGCGGTTTCAGTTCTAGTATTCTATAAACATCAAACCTCCCTTGCTTCACCAGCAGAGGAAGAAATAACTGACATCCTGAGCTTTTGGTCTGACAGTGGCCTGTTCTAGATAGGGGCCAACAGGGGCCGGTACCTCTGCAGAACTGCTCATGGCCATTGTTATTTAAATCAGTTTTTGCAAAGTAATACTAAATGAAGCCTAGGAAGAAATTCAACTGGATCGCTTACCATCATCCAATCAGAGGCTCATCTGTCTGTGAAGCAGCTAATTAGCATTAAACCACACCTGCTCGCAATCCAATAAGCATCAGTTCAGCTTAAAAGAAGTCAATCAACAGCTCAACCTGCTATAAACATACATTTTAATTGGATCGCATGTAAGACTTTGATTATAATGACCCTTATTCATCCTCCTCCATCTCCTTCTCCACCATTGCAAGCTCATCTGGCTCCTTCTCCATGCCGCTGCTTGCTCCTAATGAAATAATTCCCTGGACTCATACTGCTTTCACAAGGGATCCCCAGACTCTCCTGCAGCAGACCGCCATGTTGAGCCTGGCTCTGCCAGAGATATCTTCCTCGGGGGAGTTTTTTTTCTCTCCACTGTCGCTCCATGCTGGCTCCTCATGGTTCATCCAAACCTGCTCCTAGTTCCGGATGGCATGCATCTTCATTCTCTATTTTACCACCATATTCTGGGGGCTTCATTCCTGTTCTCATTCAGCAGCTCATGCATGTAACCAAAGTAGAAATTTATTGTTTATGTGTTCATTTAGTTTTTTTTTTTTCTGTGCCCCCATTGAAAATTACTAGCCCCTTCGTGATTTGCTGTTTTTTATTTTTCTGAGAATAAACATAAATGAAACCTATCGTTTAGTTTGTACCACGCCACCTTATGATTGTTCCAACATAACCAATTTATGCTGACTGCGGATTCTCTCAAATGACGTTTATTTTCCTTTAAGCAAGTAAAATACATGGACTTTGTCATTTCACATGACAAATGTTTTACCAAAGTGTTTGGGAATGTGGTTGCCACGTAACCATGCAATGAAAACCACTGAAGTAATTACCTGCCTTTAAAGGGTTGCAAAACATCTACGGCATGTTATGCAACCGGTTATTCCACTTATCTGTCTTTATGCAGACTCAACTTACAGCTCAGGTAGCTGAGTAAGTGACCCAACCCACCAAGTGGTGTCCCAAGCAGTGTGGACGCCAACTGATATTGGCGGTTTTAACAGTTGTTCAAATGAAGCAGATTAATAAACCTGAAAAGTGCTTAATTTGATTGTTATAAAATTGTAATAAAAAATGTGTGCTTTATTTTTAGGGATCTGACTGACAAAAAAAGCTATATAAGAAGCCATTGCTTCGAGGAAAAAAAAAAGATATGTTGTTCTCATGCACATGACAAACTGCTTTCCACAGTCCAGAATGAAAGTAACTATAGCTTGCGTTGTTCGATCATGTCACCCTTCTACACAGCATTAGCACCTTCTAGGAACGCTTGTACATGTCTCTGGACTCCTGGGAAGCCAGCTATCTTAAATCAGTCAGTGTGACCCTGGATAGACTAATAACACCTGCACAGTCTGGACACAGGTATATAAGCTGCAACCTGCAGCTCTGCAGAAAGGGGCAAAATGTTGATAAAAGCAATTTGGCAGTAAAATTAGTTGGACACATTTTTCCATTTATTCTGTTCTATTTTTAATCTTAAAAAAACCCCAATACTTAAACAGAATCAGGAAACATAATGTGGAAAAATTGTATTTAACATGTTGAAGCAGGCATTAATCTCGTTCAAGAAAAAGGTTTAACCATGCTGTTAAATTAACAAAATTCAAAACCAAATAATAAATCAAATTTATGGCGTTGTGACTACATATTATTCTCAAACAAAATTATTTAATTTATTTTAGCAAATTTACATCAAGTATGAACAATCAATAGTACATGTTTTTAGAGTTTAAGACAAATCTTATATCACAATATAGAAGAAAAATAAATAGTTATGTAGTTTTAGGAATTTAAGGAATAAGCATAGCTGTTAAAATGTGTCTTCATCATAAAACAAGAGTTAAAAGTGATAACTGTTAATGCACTTGGTGTCGAACTTTTAATAAAGTGGTGAAATAATGTAACCTGACAATAGCCAGATGCATGAACTTCGAGAACTTTTAGTTTGTGTTTGGCGCCATCTAGTGGAATTACTTATTAACTACATGGAGCTGACCGGAAGTTTACCGGAGACGGAAACAGTAGCAGAGAGTATCCGCTGCCAGTGAAGCAAGTCGTGCAGAAGTCGAAGGAGATTTGTTTTTTTGCATTGTGCGACTAATTAGGGTTTGACATCACATTAATGTCCTTTTGTGGAACGCAAAATAGTGGGTAGGTGCAAAAGCTTTCAGGTTATATGTATGTGTGTTTAAACAATACATGGGTTTAAAATGCCTTTAGTTAGCTGCGGCTAGCTTGCTATTGTGAGACTTGTTATGTAATGTCTGTCTGGCTTTTTTATATTATGGCTTAAGTTATAAGTTATAAGCTATTTATTTATAATTAAACTAGCATAAGTGTAATTAATTGAAATGTCGTCTCTGAATAGCTTTGCTATCTGTACTGATATCGGTGAGCAGTTTTTAGTTCTCAGAAGTTAAGGCTAGCTTGGAAAAGTAGCAGCTTTTTAAACGGTTTATGTTTTTTCTTTCTCCGTCCCTTTAACTTCTCAGGCGCCGCAGCAAGTGGGACCAGCCCGACCCCGGGCCCAGAGGCTCCGGTGGGATGCTGCAGCGTGATTCGTTTCCCTGCGGGGCTCTGGATGCTGCAGCGGCCGTTGCTGCCAAAATCAACGCTATGTTGGTGGCTAAAGGGAAGCTGAAGCCATCACAGATTAACCCCCCGCTACCATCCGACAGGGTGAGGAAATGATGCCTGTTAGAAGCTAAAAACAACACATGATGCCAGATGAGGATGGGCGCCATATTTTCTGGTACTATGGTGAAGTGAGAATGAAAAGATGATCATGTGTCTTTTCCAGGCTGTATGGCTGTGACTGCGTGCCAAAACAATCATAGCTCCACTAACACTGCAGCTGAAAGCTATGCACATTTACAATGAACACAATTAGATAAAGAACTGTGATTTATAAATATCCTATTTAATCCTATTCTTTGATATTTGTCATTCGCCTCATTGAAAACAAAAGAGAAGGACAAAAGTCCATAAAGTATTTTGACAATCCGTTCATTTCATTTGCGTTTTTAAAACATAATTTATTCTAATTTATCATTTTGAACAGAGGCTCCCAAACATTACAGCTTCTAATCCACAAAATGTTCCCAAAGTCAACTCATGATCCAGATTATTGGGTAATTATACATACTATTCATTGAAATCAATTAATCATGGGTCTAAAGATATTACAAACAGCATCAATAACTGTAGTAACTAGTTTTCTCCACTTCTAAGTGATGCTTTCATATATTTAAGTATTTTAACATTAGGTTATTTTTTTAGTTTAATTTCTCAAGTGGATCTCAAGGACCCCATACTTGTTGATCAAGGACACCAAGACCGTCGGTTGTTCCATCTGTCTACCTGTCATTCCGTCATCTATCCTTACCTCCACCTGTTTGTTCTTTCATTTCTTCATCATTCAAACAATTAACTTTAAACAATGCGTTATCTTCTAGAAGTAAACCCTGATTACTATAGAAATAATCATGCATATCAATCTTTTGTAATGACATGTCAGCCGGTTTGTGTCTGCAAAGATAGGAGGTTTAATGTGAATAAAATGTATAAAACCATTTATGTAAAAGAGAAATGATTAAGACTTCATGTTAGAGAAGATTACATGGCAACTGGCAAGTCTTACATTGAATATATTATTTTGTTTTACCATAGCCCATTCATTCCCTCCCCATAAACCCTTTTACTGGCACATACAGTGAGGAACACCCTGCTAGTTTGCAAGTTCTCCCACTTAGACATCACTGAGGGGCCTAAAATTGTCATAGAAGGTGAATGTTAACTGTGAGAGACATAATCTAAAAAAAATAAAGTTACCTATTGCTGCAAATAAATATTTGAACATCTGTCTATCGGCTTGAATTCTGACCCGCAAGGACCTGTTAGTCTGCCTTCAAAATGTCCACCTCCACTCCATTTGTCATCCTAAATTAAATGCACCTGTTTGAGGTCGTTAGCTGCATAATTACACCTGTCCACCCCATGCAATCAGTAAGAATCCAACTACCAACATGGCCAATACCAAAGAGCTGTCCAAAGACATCTGAGATAAAATAACAAGGTTGGAAAGGGCTATGGGGAAATTGCCAAGCAGCTTGGTGAAAAAAGGTCCACTGTCCACTGTGCAATAATTAGAAAATAGAAGGCGCTAAACATGACTGTCAATCTCCCTTGGACTGGGGCTCCATACAAGATCTCACCTTGTGGGGTCTCAATGGTTCTAAGAAAGATGAGAAATCAGCTCAGCACTACACTGGAGGAGCTCATCAATGACCTGAAAAGAGCTGAGACCACCGTTTCCAAGGTTACTGTTGGTAATGCACTAAACCATCATGCATTGCACGGAAGGTTCCCATGCTTAGACCAGCACATGTCAAGACCCATCTTAAGTTTGCCGATGACCATTTGGATGCTCCAGAGTAGTCATGGAATAAAGTCATGTGGTCAGATGAGACCAAAATAGCATTTTTTGTCATAAATCCACTAACCCTGTTTGGAGGAAGAAGAATGATGAGGATCATCCCAAAAAGACCATCCCTGCTGTGAAGCATGGGGGTGTTAGCATCATGCTTTGAGGGTGGTTTTCTGCACATGGGACAGGGCGACTGCCCTGTATTAAGGAGACGATGATCAGGGCCATGCATTGTGAGATTTTGGGAAACAACCTCCTTTCCTCAATTAGAGCATTTAAGATGGGTCGAGGCTGGTTCTTTCAACATGACAATGACCTGAAGCAAGCAGCCAGGATAATGAAGGAGTGGTTTTGGAAGAAGCATATCAAGGTTCTGGCGTGGCCTAGTGAGTCTACAGACCTAAACCCAATAGAGAATCTTTAGAGGGAGCTCAAACTCTGTTTCTCAGTGACAGCCCAGAAACCTGACTAGAGAGAAACTGTGTGGAGAAGTGGGCCAAAATCCCTCCAGCAGTGTGTGCAAACCTGGTGGAAAAATACAGGAAACATTTGACTTCTGTAATTGCAAGCAAGGCTACTGTACCAAATATTAGCCTTGATTTTCTCTGGTGCTCAGTACATACATACTTTCAGCTGTATTATACACATAAATAGTTAAAAGAAAAATCATTTATTATGATTTCTGGATTTTTTTCTTTGTTAATTATGTCTCTCACAGTGGACCTAAACTTACGATGACAATTTCAGACCCCTTCATGATTCCTGATTCCTAAGTGGGAGAACTTGCAAAATAGCAGGGCGTTCAAATACTTATTTTCCTCACTGCATATTGGCAAAGATGAGCATATACATAAATATCCATTTATTTATATATATATATATATATATATCTCTACAGAAAAATATATAGATACATAAGCAGGAAAAAAAGGAACTTGCAGCCAGGCAATCAAAGATTCTGTAAGATAATAAATAGGCCTTTTGGAGGACATCTTTGATGCTGATGTGGTAGATTGACATGTAAAGTTAGCTCTTATTTTTATTTTTGTTGTGCTAGTCAGGTTTTTTGTTCTCTCCTTGATGCCTTCCTGTAAGCCATATCTACGTGGCTAATTCTGGCCTCACATGGACTGTTTTGTTTCGACATCCGTGTCAAAGTGTGCCTTGTGCCAATCCCCACAGAATGGATGTAGGAGTCCCTAATGTATTTGAGTAGCTGTCCATTTGAAATGTACCAGATATGTTTTACTTTTCCCCTTTGTAACTTCGTGTCCGAGTATTTTGGTCTTCAGAATTTTACTCCCTTTACTCCATTATCTATCAAAAATGGACTTAAACTGTATCTCTGACAGACAAATGAGGGTCAAAAAGCCATTGGGACTCTGACTCATCTACTCAGTCTGAATTAGAATAACAGTCTAAATTAGAAAAACACTTTTTTTTTTTTTTTTTTTTTATGATAGAGTAGGATTTAGGCATATTTACTACTAGCTGCCCTCGGACTAATTTTAGTGATTGCAAATATGTAGAAAATCTGTTGAAGGCTGCAGAGTAGCATCTTTGTCAAAGCTTCTCGCTTCTTTTAGATTTTGTCACCTGCTTCCTCTAAATTGGGGCTAAAACGATTCATTGTGATAAATCGATTATTAAAATAATTGTTAACTAATTAGATAATCTAAATGAATTGTTACCTAAAGTAATGGTACACAGACTTAAAACATTTCCTGAAAGAATAACATGCTTACAGCGTGACAAAACTGCAAAAAAATCAGATTAAAAATCTTTACATTAGATTCAAATTTTACGTATGTTTTTATATGGTATATTTTATACATTTTTGCCATTTACAAATGATAAAAAAATTTAAATTAGTAAATTTTTTAAAACTGAAAATGTTATTTATTTAGAAATGTTGATACACTGAAAGTAGCAGGTCAATCAAATAATAAAAAAACAAAACAATGATTAGTTGAATCGATAGCTGCAGTCCTTCTCTGAACAGTAGGATGTTGATGTAAACATATTAAGTATTTACAATATATCTTTAATTTTGTGTTTTGTCAGACTGTCGGTACTGTGAAGCCTCCTGCACCCACCAAAGCAACTGACCTGGTGATCGCTGAAGTTGAGATCAACGACGTCCCTTTGCCCTGTCGAAATCTCCTAACCCGCGGACAGACTCAGGAAGAGGTCAGCAAAAAATCAGAAGAACATTTTTTATTTTTAAAAAAACGTATAACATTAAGATAAATTTCTCTCTGACTTCTGTGGTGCCAACCTTATGCCTCGTTTGTAGATCAGTAAAGTGAGCGGAGCTGCAGTTTCAACCAGAGGGCGGTACATGACAACGGAGGAAAAAGGCAAAGCGTTGCCAGGGTAACTCCTTAAACCATATGTTTTCACTGCTGCTTAACGCTTTATTCATGCTTATTGACTCCGTTTTTTTCTTCTCCACATTCCTTGCAGAGATCGACCCTTGTATCTGCATGTTCTAGGAAAGACAAGAGAGCATGTGGACAGTTAGTACTCCTACAAATATATCCTGACCTATTTAGTGAATGTATGTCAGATTCAGGTGCTAATATAACCCCCCCTCCATGTTCCAGGAGCGGTTAATGGAATCAAGGCAATCATCGCCAGTGGTGTTGTAAAAGCTGCAACAGCTTCTTCAGCCACTTCCTCTTTCTCCCCCAGTGGCGCTTCAGTCACTGTCTACCAACAGCAGAACCCACCTGCTCCCACGCTGCCCCCTGTGACGAACCACAAACCTCACTTTCAGTCAGGGGTGAGTTGGCTTATCACTAGATGACTGTTTTCTGTACAACTTCCCAGCACTTATTAATAACCCAGTCATATATAAGAAGTTACTTTAATTTCAGATACTTTGCATTTTTTTAATCTTTTTTTTTTTTTTGGGGGGGACGGGTTAAAGGTTAGATTATAGTTGTAGAGGCATTTATCTAAAATGCTTGGTTTATAGCAATGTGAGATGAGCTTTTTAGCTTTTGAATTCATATGAATCGGTTGCTTTAGCAATCTTGAATTTGTGGTTTGTATTCTGTTTATTTCCAAGAGTTTGGTTAATGTAAGCTAGACATCGAGTCGACCCATTCAGTTTTTTAATTTTTAAATTTTTTTTTTTATTTAAATGCAGATCCCGATTACACTGACATCAGTCTAACCAAATTTTATTTTTCCCCCCAGCGGAGGGGAACTGATTCTTATAGCAAACATTGCTTTTTTCCCTTCTCCATTAACATGAGAAAAATTCTGCCATGATTTTAAACAAGTTTTAATTCAAACAAAAATAACATGGATAGAAAATGGACGAAGCGGCACTGGATGCGCCTCACATGATCTCAAGGGATGCTCTAATGAATCGACGAACGCATGCATGTGTCGGCCAATACCAATGCAAGAAATAAACTAAATATCGGCCCGCCGGTGTTTTATACTTTTGGGAAAATGGCACCACAGCATCTTTTCTTGTTAATAATCATTTATTGTCAATAATTATTCCTGGTATTCCTTTTGTCCTTTCTTCTTTGCAGATGCATTATGTTCAGGACAAGATCTTTGTGGGCCTGGAGCACGCCGTTCCTGGGTTCGTGGTCAAAGAGCGAGTTGAGGGCCCCGCCTGTTCCTATCTGCAGCACATTCAGGCTGAGACCGGAGCCAAAGTCTTCCTACGAGGAAAAGGATCAGGCTGTTTAGAGCCTGCATCTGGACGGGAGGCCTTTGAACCCATGTACATTTACATTAGGTAGGTGCTGCTCTGGCAGCTCTAATACATTTAAGAAAATGACATCAAATTTTATATTAACCAAACTGTTGTAGCCATCTGCGGATTACTGGTATGGAGGTTTGTCAAGGTTTGAACAATATATATCAACATTTTCTTTCATTCTGTTTCTACAATTTTAATCATGGCAGCTTGGACAAACAGAATGCTGGGTCTGGCTGCCTTAAAGCGTCTTTGGTGATTTATTCTATAAAATGGCATCATTTATTGTGATGCTGGCTGGTGTTTAATATTACCTGCAGATGATTCAAAATGCTGCTGCATGTCTTCTAACCAACATGCACAGGTTTGAGCATATTTTCTCAGTGACCACTAATTCAGTTTAAAATCAATCTTAAGATTAAATGAATAGCCTACTAAAAGCTCTGCATCTCTCAACTTTTCCAGCCTTATCTGCCACTTTGTTGTCTTAGATCAGCTGATCTGTACCTGTTGTCAGTGCAGAAGTGAAAACAGGACCAGACCTCTGTAGCTCATCCTAGACTGGAATGATCTGCTACTACCCTTGCCATAAAAGTCTCTTTCTAAATCAAATCTTTTCTTTTGGACCTTCAATACTTAGGGCCTGATCTTCAAAGATTCAGAATAAGTGGCTTGGAATTACACGTACATTTTTCTTGTAGTAGGTACAATAAATGGGCGTGTTGCGGATTGAGCTACAAAGGTTAATGCGCAAATGTTAAGACATACAAACCTATTTGCTTCCACCCATGTAAATAAACAGATTGAATCTTCTGCTTACAGTTTGATGGTGGCTGTTAAAAAGATTAAATCAAAGCTATGGAGATGGAAGAAATAATGATAATTATTTAAAAAATAAATTTGTTAATATTAAAAAATATTTATGTTGCACCTCATAGCATATCTCAACGTTGCTTAGGCATGGTTATGAGCAACCTATGGCTACAGGTCTGGTAGCTCATGAAATCTCAGAAGCTATAAACTATAGAAAGTATTTCCATCAGGATTTCTGATTGTCTTCAAGGAGCTAGAGGGATTATTCAGCTCCTCATGTTGTTTCTTTCTGCATGCTCTGAATTTAAAAAGAGCCTTTAAAGAGTCATCCTAGATTAAAGCTGTATTTATGCATACCCCTCAGTGGTAAGAGTTACCTCTGCATCCAATACTCTGAAGTAGTAAATATTAAGGTGATTTTAATTGTTATTTGGCTTTACAATGACCATTAAACCAGTAATATTTCACCCCTAAGCAGCGTCCTCATTAAACAGCCCACTGTTGGCTCTGCATGTAATGAACCATCTAATGCGTAAAAAAAGCGACACTATGGAAAATCTTAACTTGAAAATTAATCCAGTGGGAAATATTTCTGTATTTCTGTCCATGTAACAATACTTCTATGATTATAATGTGGTTATTTTAAAAGCAGTAGTACTTCTCTTTTTTCTAAATAAAAGTAGTTAGAACTGTTTAATACTCTGGTCCGTCATACCTCTTCAACCTACCTGTCCTCACCTTGATTATTGGTGAATTCATCCAGTTAGTAGTTGAACCAAATGTTGACTTCTTTTTCCTCCACAGTCATCCTAAACCAGAAGGACTGGCAGCAGCTAAAACCCTGTGTGAGAATCTCCTTCAGACGGTGAGTAGTTACTCTGATGGTCAAATTGTTTTGTATTTTTCATTATATAGTCATTTCTTATGTCCTTTTTTTTAATTATTATTATTATACAATCCTAAATATAGGCTTAATTAGGCTTGCTGATTGGATCAGTATATTACATGACTATGTGTGAACTTTTACTAATTAATTTTCCATTGATTTTTTTTTTTTTTTTTTTTTGTACCGCTGTTTTTTTTTTTTTTTTTAATAAGGAGGCACTCATTTTACTTCCGTTACATTTTACAAAGGAAATGCATGAAATTTCTCCCTTCGGGCCTTTAAGTGCTAATAATATACTGCCACGCAGACAGGAGGAGAGAGTTGCAGCTAGCATGCAGATCCGTGCATCATAATAGAGGCTGATGAAAAACTGAAATAACGAGGTGAAATATCTACATGCATGTGCATATTACAACGGGAATTTGCAATAACATCCCCATCACAATATTTGTTGGCAGTAATCACAATTGAGATTTTTGGCCAATTCGTTCAGCCCTATTTTATGCTACAGCTGTTTACCGCCTTAGGATTTGAAGGAGATGGTAATATAGATTTGAAGTGTAACACACCCATTATAAAAGATTACCCCACTGCAGGCAATGCTGAAAACCAGGGTGTATACAGGACAAAGAACTGACAGCTAGTTTAACTCAGCCTAGCCTTATTGAAGCATTGAAAGTGGGCAGAGGGAGCTGGTAGAGGTGCAGGATTTTCACCTCCCCTTCAACCCGGTTTGTGGGCCAGATCCTTATCAGTCAGTTCAAGGTTCTGACTGTAATTCCCATAGCCAGCACTGCAAAGGCAGTGTGGCTCACAGCACTTGTAAAGTGCATTGAGATGACATGTGTTGTGAATTGGCGCTATGTAAATAAACTGTATAGAATTTAATTGAATTGCTGAGGTGTATGTCTGAGTGGGAAACCAGGGGGATGATGAATAAGACTGGACAAACTTATATCAAGATGTATTTCATAATTTGGGTTGGAACTGTATAATTTTGATTCTAATATAAACAAAATAAAAGCCTGAGTAAAAATACCCACAACAGACGCCTGTACAAACGAATGACAATTTTTATAAAACTCCTCCAATATCACATTTTAGAAATATTTGCCTTTAAAAAAAAACAAAACATTTTAAACAACATAAAAATTATATATTGAAAATTTCACATCTCTATTATTTAATAGAATTACATTACAATATATATTGTTATGGAGTCACTGTCCTGTCCTAAGATCCATCCGTTAGATGGTGTTAAGATAGGAAAATAAAAAAAAAACTAAAATAGGCCATAGACCCCGGTTATGCTTTTAATCTGCAAAAATAACCATCATATTTTGGGTTAGTTATACTTAAAAGCAAACTATCACAAGCAAATATGGAAACCTTTCCCTGAATTTTGGACTTTAATTGATCTTTAATGTGAAACTTCCCTTTCAGATGGAAAACGGGACGCTGCGATCAGTAAAATTTATGTATTTTAATAAGTATTTGGGGTCAAAAAGCAGACTGTGACATTAACATTCCCTGAAATGATACTAACTAATAAAGTGAACAAAAAATGCATTGCTAAGCAATCCTATGGATTTACCAAACATAAATAACCTCAAAGTAAATCCCAACAGCCACACTGATATTTCTAACTCTGTTAAACCATTTATTGCTACAGTCAAATGGTAAAAAAAAAGAAAAAGATCTTTGTGGCTTCTGCTGATGTTCCACTCAGATAATAATTTGCACAAGTGTTTTTTTTTCCCTCTGCCTGAAACCACAAGTATTTTCTGCAAACACAGACATCTGCAACTTAAAGCTAGAGCTTCAAAGGAAGTGTGTGTTGTTTCAAATAAAAGTTGAATTTAGAGGCAATCTTTATTTGCAGGTCCATGCAGAATATTCCCGCTACGTCAGTCAGATGAGCTCAGTGATGCCGACGCCACAAGGTACTTGAGCTTCATCGCTCATTCAAGTGAAGTTTTTGCTTAATTTAATGCCTATTTTGAAAAAGCAGTTATATATTTTTTTATTGATTTAGATATTATTTTGTATTGGTTTTGTAGATTAAACCTAAATGTAACATAAGCTTCACTTACATAACATTTCTTTAGTAAGGCCAGTCTGTACAGGGTGATATTTTTCTGCTGTAGTCAGTGCATCGTGTACAACCTGATGCGTTCTGCTCCTCTTCCTCCGCCAGGTTTTCCACAGCCTCCAGTAGTAAACGGGATCCCTCCTCAGCCCCCTTACTTCCCTCCAGCTGGAATCCAGCCAAGCTACAGCGTGCCCGTACCACCGCCAGCGCCCCAACCTGTCCCACCGCCTTTCAATGTACCACCTCCAGTCCTGCCTGCAGGCGGGCCTTCTCAGTACCCTGTACGGCCACCCCCTGCCCCTCTTCCATTTCCGGTTGGTCTTTCTATTCCTGCTCCACCCCCTCCTCCTGTTCTGCCTCCAGTTCCCAATCCAGCTCCAGATGTTCTGCAACAGGTAGGAATGGATTTAAACTGCACCTTGAAAACTCAGGTTTTCTTCAGTAAAAACAGTAAGATAAACTCATGCACAGTTTACCTGTTTGTCCGTAGCTGTTCAAACTATTCCCAAGTTCTGGGGGGGGAACAAAACAAAAGTAGTTCCCAAAATTTATTGGTTTTCTGGATGCAGGTGAAGATTAATCAAACAATATCAGTTTAGTAGAGGTTTATTTCCCTTTAATTAAAAAAGAAACTGGAAAAAAAAGGACAACAAAATGCAGACTTTGGATTTAATTTAAAAAAGAAAAGAAACGGAAAAATGTTTTAGGGTTGTAATAAAAAAAAACATGGTTTTAGTTAAAATGGTTTATAAACTATTGGGAGAAAAATGGTGTGCTTGCTGTGAGGAGATGATGTTACACAGCAGGCAGTGCTAATCAGGTTTTGTCAGACAATCACTTTTTGGCAAATGATGGAATATGTTCCAACTGAGAAAATCAGGGATTCCTTCAGATACACTGTTTATAGCTTAACTCTAACCCCTGTTCTGTGCTGAGATTGGAAATACATACTCTGATATCAGCAATGCCTTAAATGAGAAAAGAGCAGCCTTGGTAGTTTTAGATTTTTTTTATTATTTGGTTTTGAAACAAAAACAACCTATTATTATTATTAGTATTATTATTTTCTTTTGATAAAAGCAAAGAACAATCCATCCACAGATTTCTCAATCTGGAAAGGTTTTAACACCATTTCTAAGTCCTTTGGACATCGGGGGGAAAAAGAGAGAATATGAATCTGTAACTTGAGGAAACAGAGGCTGGTTATCATATCATTGTTGTACATCAACAAGTCATCCAGGAGGTCATAACACAAATGTCCCACTTTTGGAAGGGGTGGGGTCATGTGACCTAAAACTAACCCAGCATGTAGGAAACAGACCATAACGGCTATAGTCCAATATGGTGGTGGTACTCTGATATTGCAATAATTGATGTGATCATGACTTTTGCTGTCTACTACAAGGTAGACCTTGAGAATAACGTATCTGTGAAGATTCTCAGTCCCCAGGTCATGGTCAAGCTTGGAAAAGTTCAGTTTAGGCAACTGGATGTGAAATTTTCTGAAAGACATTTCACCTCTCATCCAAGAGGCTTCCTCAGTTCTACACCTGAAGGCTAAAGGAAACTCGTTTGAGGACAACAACGTCCATATTCTTGCAAAGGAAGATGGTTTGAGCGAGGGGTTAAGGAAGCCATCTTTGTTAACCTGGAAAAAAAACATCTCTCAACAGAGGAGGTGATCTTAGACATAACCTTTCACCTACTAACAGAGTACTTTGAGGAACATTACCCAGAATACTCAGCTCCCACCCACATTCACCTGACGCACACTGCAATGAGGCATGTAACCAAAACCACTGTGACGAGGGAGTTGAATACCCATCAGAACCCCGCTATTGACCTTTTTCCAGCTTTTATTGTACTCTGTCACAAGTACAGAGAAACAAAATTAACTCTCTGCATTTAACCAATCCCCTTGGGGAGCAGTGGGCTGCCATTGTGCAGCATCCGGGGAGCAGTGTGGGGTTTAGGGTCTCCTGCTCAGGGACCCAGAGTGGCAGTCTGTGGGAGAGGGGCTTAAACTCAGAACCTCAGGATTCCAAGCTCTATGCGCTAACCACTAGGCCGCCATGGACACCCCCCATGTGACCTACATGGCCAATCCAGAAAGAGGGATCAGAGCCACCTTTTGTCCCCTCTAATTCTTTGTTGCACCTAAAGTATATTAATCTAGGTGCTCCCTACCACCACTTAAAACTGAAGAAGCCTCTTGGATGATGGAAAACTTCACATCCAGTTGTCTAAACTGAACCTTTTCCAGCTTGAGAGTAACCAACCTTAAGTACAGGATAACAATTAAAGATTGTAGATGAAGTGAGCCAATAAACTGTTGTTTTCTCTCTCTCTGCAGACCCTTCCTCCTCTACATTCCACATCAACGCCTCAAAAACTTCCGCCTCAGGCCGCCCCGTCCAACCCGCCTCAGAAGAGACGATTCACAGAGGAGGTACCAGACGAGAGGGATAGCGGCCTGCTTGGGTACCAGGTATTAAAATATTTGACTATATTTCATCAGTATTAACAGCTCTCTACTTTGCTCCTCTCTGCAGTCCTGTTACAACAGAGCCCCTTCCACCAGCCGGTCATATTTAGACTCCTTCTAAACACCTTGTTTATTCACTGTGGAAAGACTTCAAGTTAACATTTCAATTATTCCTTCTTTTCTCTGTTTTAATGTAGCTTGATTAAAATGGTATGGGATGCTGCGTTCCTTATATACAGGTTATTCCTCAGTTTCTGCTTATATGGATTATCAAAGAAAGGTATAAGTGTGCTTAGGAATAACGTAAGCAGGCTCTGGGAAATCTCCTGATGGTTGGAATAATGTGAGACAGAGCTTAGAGGAGGATGTCTGCTAATCGTGGCTGTGTGTTTTTCTGCTCATAGCATGGACCCATTCATATGACTAATTTAGGTGCAGGCTTCTCAGTGGGCAGCACAGAGACTTCAGGAGCCGCACAGCAGAGTTCCTCTGGCCCGGCGAGTGAGAGGGACAGGTAGACCTGCTGTATTAGTTAGATCTGAGCATGTCTCCTAGTCAAACAGGGAATATAATTGACACCAGCTGTTTGTGTTTTTAGTAGGCACCTAATGCCTCCACCAACATCGCTGGGCGTGAACGGAGTCAGACACCAGATGGACGGGAGGAGAATACAGCAAGCCTTCGTGGGTAAGGATGTCATCCTGTGGATTGAAAAACCTCTGCCCCAAACCAGGACTGAGGACTGTAAACTGATTTATTCTCTTTCTTTTAGAGGTATCAGGGGCGCGCTGCGGCTTTCCCTAAACTTTAGTGTCTAGATTTCTGTGGTTTTATTAGAGATTGTTGAGTAGATGGGTTAAAATAAGTAAGCGAATGCATTAAACAAAAAGTTCCAGATATGTAGAAAAAAGCTGCTGCTTGACATGCCCGTGCAGCAGAGGATGTACAAATCAGAACTTTATTTCTAACCTATGGCTGAACCAGTGGTACTGATTTTGAGCTGTTTGGGAATTTTAGTCAGAAATTACAATGAAAGAAGATAGTATCAAGTATGTTTTCTTTTAGTCTCGTTGCCTGGGTGGATTATTGATTCATACACAGGGATTTACAACCATGTTAAAACTAAAATGAGCTTTTTAAAATGTATTTAGCATCACTAGCGATTTCCAAGGTCAGCATTATAACTGTAAACATCACTCTCTGTATTTCTATAGCAGGGATTCTCAAAGTGAGGGTTTCCTGTGACCCACTGGTGGGTCACAGGAAACCAAGTGTGATGAGGAGGTCCAATATATTTAATAATCTAAAGAAATTATTTAAACATTAAATATAGCATCCAATTGTAAAATGCTAACATAGTTAAATTGTGCTATAAGACAAACATTTAAAATGTAGAATTAGAAATCAAATGTAATTTAATGCATTTTTGAAAAAAAAATGAATACATGTACTCTGCTTTATACGTGTAATAAATAGAAATAAATAGAAATAAAATCAATTATGTGTATTTTTAATTTGCTGACTGCAAAAAGGATCTAAAAATAGATTCAAAAAATTCTTAAACAAGTGAGTTTGTCCTTAAGCTGAGCAGGTAAATAAGACGATTTACCAATAGGACTGGTATTAAAATAAGATAAGATATACACTTGAAATAAGACAGTTACGTTTTTTTTTTCTTGTTTTAAATGTGAATTGTCTTATTTAATTGGCAAAGTGTCTGCCTTATCTGCTAAATTCAAGAAAAATGTACTTGGTTATAATTTTTTGCAATGTGTTGTTATTTTTGTAGACACAAGTTGAAATGTTTTGGAACAGAAATACTTTGCTGTTATACGTCCAGCCCTCCTGTTATTGGCTTAAACCTGTCGTTCAACCTAAATAACAAAGATGATAGGAAATAACACCCTACAGCTGGGTGCTTCCTCTGACGTTTTTAAATGCCTCCCTCATAGTTTGAATCGCTTAACTTTGAGTCTTACTGACTCCATAAAAATGAGAAACTGAGAAAAAAGATAAACATTTTATTCTAAATTAACCCTTTAAAGTTTGATAAAAGAAATAAATTTGCTATTTTTTTTAATTAATGTATCCAAACATTGATTCTGTTACATTATAACATTAATAGAGAACTTTAGATAAAAAACAAACAAACATTAAATTCTGATCATGATATACTTTTCCAGTTTGTGTACTTTTCAACAAAGTTAATAGTTTATGGCAATATATTTAAGCTTTGTTTGATGTATTCTTGAGAGATTGCTCTAATCTGTTTTTGATTTGGCTTTCTGTAACCCTTCAAAATAAAGGCTTTTCTTACCATAAAAGCAGCAATACAGACAGAGCTTTTAAATAAAGTTGAGTGTTGTAGTACAGAGAGGTTATGAGGTTTGATGCTGCTGATTATTGAGGCGAAGCTCTCAGGAATATACTTATCAACGAGCAGTCAGTTTCTCTTTGCACCTCTGCTTTTTGACATGCCCCAGTCGTTTGTTCAAAATCCAGCCCACAGTATTGTTGCGTTGTGATGACATCATCAGTCTGGACTGTTTTGTTTCCGTCCTTGCTAACAAGAGTCTCTCCTGTTTTTGTGCTCTTTTCTTTTTCTCTGTGTTTTTCTTCTCTTCCATGTGTCTCTGGTGATGCTGGACACTGATTGGGGGTGGGGCACGCCTTGACCTGCAATGCCGCCCCGCCACTCCAATGGATGGGGGCCCCCCTCCTCTTCCCTGCTGACATAAACATTAACTTCTCTGTTGTTTCTCCAAAAAATGTGTTTGAAATGATTAACTTGTCACATTTGAAATCTGTTGTTGTTGCTCTGTGTTGTTTTTTTTCTCCCCCTCTGCTCCAAACGTGCTGCTTGTGTCTGTTCTCGCTGCTCTCCTCCTTCTTACAGAGCCTTCAGTGAAACGACTCAGAACTGGTTTGGTAGCTTACACCGGCGACTCTTCTGATGAAGAGGAAGAGCACCCTTCTTCCAAAGCCTCATGGCTAGGTAACCGTCCACCCACTTCTGCTGCTACAACCTGGGCTCAGAGCTATCGCTGCCCCCCGCCACAGCAAACTCGTGCCAAAAACCAACCACAGCAACAATCCATTCCTTTCTGGATGGCACCATGAAAAGGAAACGTTTCTAAGTTCTCTTAAATCCTACAGGACCTCATTTTTTCCCTTCCACTTGGATCATGTGGAGGACAGCTTCTTCACAGCTGTGCCTCTGTTTGAACAATGAACTCAGATCCAAGTAGATGTACAAAATGTTTTGTATACATTATAGTTTGGAAGTGAACACTTGCACGGCTTTCTTTCTTTTCTTTATTGATCTGTAGGTCCGATCAGTGGTGGTCTGCACCACACTTTACAACAGATTTAAAAATGATCTAAATCTATTAGAATATCATGTTGATGTTATACATCAACGACCATTTTATTTTAGTTCTTTCCTACTGTTTGGCCCTTTTTCTGTCTCCCCCTGTTTGTCAGTTTTCTGTCCTAATTACTCTTTTGTACAGGTCATACAGGAATTTCATGTGGTTCATCTACTAAATTTCATCCTTTTAATAAACCTAATTTATTGGGGTGATTGAGTCTGTTTTTATTTGATCTGTATGAACCTCATTGTACATATTTAAGATTGTTACAAATGAGTTATTCAAATATTACAAAGATTTAATGATTCAGTACAACAGAATAAATTCTGTTTGTTCTGCAGGCAATTGCTGAATTCAATAGTTTTGCTATGCTTTAACTTCTAAATATCTGCCCAAATGTTAATTCTTACTATAGTTTAGCTAAATGAAGTTTATTTTTGTAGGAAATGAAATGAAGGAACTTTTCCTGTTCAGATCATCGTGATGTCCCGCTTCCTTGGAAGATTTTTCTTTTCATACTGAGCAATGCGGTTCTCCATGTCCGACCGGAAGTGACGTATAAGACCCTAAAGATGTTTGGGAGATAATAAATCTAAAAAATTGTGCCATGATGAATTACCTTGTTTATTGTCAGCATTTAATGGTGTTACCTGAACAGGCCAAGCCGCTCCGTCCCCCAGAGCGCAAATAGTGTGGCCCTCAATCTGTTTACTGAGCTCCCAGATCATGTCGATTTCTGAAATGGCTGCATCTCCTCGCACAAACCTCCACATCATTTTATCCATCCAGTCCACTCCTGAGGGGGAAAAAAAGTTAAGCATACAGAAACCAAGTCAACATGTATTGCATAGTTCTGCCTCATCAAATCTTTCTTAAGAGGCCACACATCAGTGATGAAACTCCAAAATGAGTCATCGTATATCCGGTATGTAATCTTTTGATCTACAGAAATTACCGTTATTAATCTAGTTAATTACTTGATTTGTTATGTACACCCTCCAGTACCAACTTTGAATGATTTTAGTTCCTAACATTGTGTGCTGTCCTTTTGGAATTAGCCATTGTTGTAATAAAGTAAAATCCCGATTAGGAAGATTATTCTGGGAGGAATGAAAGAATCCTGTGTAGAGAACATATACCCCACACCATTACACCATTATCATCAGCCTTAATCATGGATACAGGGCAGGAGGATGCATGCTTACCCAGATTCTGACCATGACCATCTTAATGATGTGGAAATGGAGACTTGTTTAACCAGGGAGAAGTGTTGTCATCAGTTGTCTTTTTGGTGAAGCTAGATTGAAGCCTTAGTTTCCTGATTTTAGGCAGTAAGAGTGGGACCTGGTTTGGTCTACTGTATTTAAACTGCTGTTTATATCTCTCCATCATCCTCTGTGTTCAAAAGGGCACTCTTATCAACCCCAACAGCCATTTGTGAGATATTTTACTTTTTTCAAAATCATCCTCTTTAAACCCGATAGACATTGTGGCTGAAACCTGCAGGTGATCTATTTAGAGCAGTCCATTTAGCACCAGCAATCATTAGTATGCTTCACCTAATGCCGATTTTCTTTTCCCATTATGACCGTTGGTTTAAACTTCTGAACGTTGACCGTTCCATATTTCAATGCTTAAATGCCTGCAGTTTCTGCCATATGAATCAGGGGGAATAGTCCAGTCGGGTGAAATATCATTCCTATAGACTATGAACATGTAGATGTCATTTTCAGAGCTGGCATGTTTACAGACACTGGAGGGTTTCCGTTTTTATTGCATCACTGTATTATCAGACACTTGCAAACCAGCAATCAGGAGAGGTCAGTTGTCATGAGGGAGATTTTAAATAGAAACATTTAGTGGTCCTATCATACACGTACATGGAGAAAAGGTAATATACTTTTACAGCAGCCCAATCTGTGAACCTGGGGTGACAAAAACTCATATCAAATCCCACAGTGTCAAAGGGTAGCTGCGCCTCTTGGTGACACTTTTCAGAGGAATTCTCTAGTTTTGATGACCTTCATTCACAGTTTTTACTAAAGACGCACCGACCCAGTTTTTTCCAGTCCGATACCTGGGCTGAGCGCATCCGATCTGATTCGACTGTTGAATTAAATATTTTAACATTTAACCTATCTTGCCATGTGAGTGAAGACTTAAAGCTTCACCTTTGAACCTGTTAAAAAGGGTAACAAATGAACAGGGACAATAATGTATGTTATATTATTTATTTACAAATTTTCAGCAAAAAGAAAGAATTAGCAGTTCCATGTAAAGGGAATTAGATCTCTAATATCAAAGATGTATTTATGCTCCAGCTATCGGAACAGGATTCAGTTTTTACTGAATCATCATGAATCCATCCCTGATCTGTATTTCTTAAAATATTTTTCATTAGTACAGATTTTTTTTTTTTTTTCAGAAAAATGAACCATATGCATATTCTATATTCTATCGATAAGTATATCCATAATATAAGCTCTCAATAATATACACGTGAACAAAATTGTTGGTACCCCTCATTTAATGAAAGAAAAACCTATATATAATTAATGTAATTTATCCTATAATCTATAAAAATTAAATGAAAGTCAGACATTGCGTGTCAACCCTGCTTTAGTGGAAGGATTTTAAAAATTTTGTTTTTTTTGTTATTTGTAGTTGTTTTAAAAAAAAACAAATATCAAGAGATCCTCAATACTGGTAGTATTCACACTCATCATGCTTTAGCACAGTTTGTCATTTATAAACAACAAGCTCCATGTATTTTTTTCTATGTTGACTTCATGAAATGGTGTAAACAAAACAAACTAACAGGAAGTTGCTTTGCTGGAGTGTTAGCTACCATTCAAAGAGGCGGGAGGAAGTTCATGTTACAATCCATACTGAATCAACATAATCCCTCATCCGAACTCCTACTGAGTGAGGATATCAATTTATTTTGAAATTTCTCATATTTTTGGAGATTTGGACATATAAGTGCTGGGACTAACACCAGGTGATGCAACACCTCCCTTGTGCATTGGATTTGGATTACTATTTACATGTGGACAGCAAAATGCCTCCAAAGATGAAAAATGAGGAGGACTTCATCACTGCTGCTCCAGTATGTGATCTACTGGAGCAGCAGAAGTCTGTTTATATGGAGTTGTTAAAACAACAAGAAAACACATACAAAGGCTTTGTGCAAATGCTCATTCAATAAAAGACTAAATGGATTCACAAAGATGCAGAAAAGTTGTCCCAAAATTGTTTGTTGTTGTTCAATGATGTCAACATGCTCAATTCAAAGCTGAACACTATGAATGTGAAAGTTGACTACGTGGAAAATTTGTCTTTGCATAAAAACCTGGTTTTTGAAGGAATCCCTCAGTCTGTATATGAAAATGGAGTGATTCAGAGGATAAAATTAATAAGATCCTGAGTCAAAAACACATTGAGCGTGAGCATCTCCATCACTCTGGAAAGCTACCTGCCAGAGATTAAAAACCTAGACCAATTGTGGTTAGGTTTCTGTGTTTCAAAGACAGAAACACTGTTTTGGAGAAGGCAGATACCTCAAAGGATCAAACATCTTGAGGATTACTCTGAGACTGTAAGACAAAAGCGCAAAAAATATATTCCTGCCATGAAAGAAGCCAGACAGTGAGGGGATATAGCTTATCTGAGATTTGATAAGCTTATAACACCCTGTCCAAAAAAACCAAGCAAAAAAATTAGGGCTGACACACTTATTCAGATGAATTGATTATTGAAACAGTGGTCAGCTAATTTAGTAATCGATTAATCGTTAACTGGAGTACAGAGACTAAAACATGCCTTTAGCTGACAGAGCAAAGTCGATCAGCAACACTGATCGACAATATGCTGTTTAAACACTTTGGAATATAATACAACATCTAGACTATTATTAACAGACATAACTGATCATTTACCAGTTTTTCATTTTACAAAATTTTATAAAAAGGAGAAGACGAGTTAAAACTCAATAATACTATAGAAATTTGTGTAAATCAAATAAGATCAAATTCCAAAAAATGAATCAAGAAGTTTCTTTATAGGTAGTTTATTATGAAAATGAACCAAATTCTCCCTGTAAAGTGTTGGTAAAACTGTGTAATTCTTGTTTTGATAAATATTTTCCATGAATATCTAGAGTTGTGAGAAAAAACTGGAGAGAACAAACCAGTACAGTCTGCAAAAAAGTCCTTAAATCTCTTTCTATCTATTTTGAGAAGGATTACAAATTTGGTTAACATTAAAGTGAGGTTAACTTTACATTATTCATTATCCATACCCTGTTGTTTGGGGAAGTATATTTCTTAGTTATCTTAAAAAACTCCCACTTCAACAAAAAAGCTTTTGTTCGCTTGGCAACGTTTTCCAAAGTTGATTCAGCTAATGTTCCCCTTTTCTCCAAATGACAGCTGTTGAATATTTATGAAATTAATATTTATCAAATATGCAACTTTGTTTTTATGATAAAACAAGGTCAGTTTCTTGATAGTTTCAAGAATTATTTTGTAAAAAACTGCCAACATCCTTTTTATTTACCATTCAGTACTAAAACTCTCAACCTTCTTTTTTGGCATCATGGTGCAAAATGATATAATGGATATGGAAAATATATGTAATCTTTAGAGATGTATGGCATTTGAAAAAATACTGTTATCCAAAAAAGATAGTGATGTATGATACAGATATTGACACCCTGAAATCTGAAAGCTAACATGTAAAAATAATTTTACACTGTACATGTCTTTTCTGTTTTCTGTCTCTACTGAGATGTTTTTCATAATATGAGCTGCCTGATGGTTCGTTGTTTTAGGGATGTGGCCTTTGGTATAATATCTAAGGGGTTTCTGTCACACTCCATCACATTTCTTATCTTATTGATGTATTCTGAGCTTCTATTTGTGAAAATAAATAAATCTAACAAAATTAATAAATCTAAGCAGGCCTGGACAAAAACATCCGAAAGGCCCTAGAAAAGACT